GAGAAAAGTGCTTGAGTGTAGACACAAATGCAGCACCTTTTAACTCCATGCAGTTTCCCTCTTCCCAATATTCTCCTCCCCGTGCTTTCCTGGTTCCCATAATGCCTTCCCTAAAAAGGAAACTGGGCTTCAGAAATCAGCTACTCTTGCCAACAAAAACTTCATTGGAGAAAGCTAGATCCTTCCCACTCTCAAAGAGCCCATTTCCTTTCTCCTGAACATTAGCCACATTTCTGACTGGGCTTAAGTGATGACTTCCAAATGTCCTTCAGGTGTCCAAAACAAAAAAGATAGAACTTAGAATTTGGTAGCCATTAAAACTCCTAGACCCTTTCCCCCGAAAATAGAAATTTTGGAGACATTATTTGACTGTCATTTTTGTTCTCCAGTTTGGGTCCCTTTATCTGTTAGTGGGTTGGCTAATGGTGGGAACTTATGACCAAGAAAGGCAAAACAAAAATTAAATATAGGGCAGTCTTCTTCCAGGTCCCCTCCTGCTGGGGAGCTTTTCTGTCTTCTTAATAAATAAATATTACTTTCTAAAAAAAAAAACAAACCTAAAACTGAAACTAAAAACAGCCACAAACCCTTTGAAGGCCAGTCTTGGCAAAAGTACTTGAAGGTGGAGTAAGCACAGAACTCACACAAGGCAAGTCATTGAGAAGGTCATAGAGCCTACGACAGAGAGCAGTTGAGCACCTCTGTTGTGCCACAAACAGTGCTAAACACCAGGAAAACAATAATGAAGAGGCAGACACAATATCTGCCTGCCATGTCAATGCAACAGGAAGCCACTTATAGTACAACCCAGAATGGAGGTGAATGAAAATCAAAGATTTGCAAACTATAAATCTGATTCAAACATTTCCAACATTTTAAAAGTACAAGATATGCAATTGTATAACTAATTTGAGATCTGTAAAAGGTTAGTAATATCATCTCAGACTTAGGATGGCAATTTCAAAATTTAAAGTGAGACAATATATTTTTAAGCATATTCCATATTGTCCTGCAAATAAGTAACAATTGGCAAAGCAAAACCTTCAGACCCTTTTATTGCCCAGATTTTCAATACTCAGCACCATAACCAATTAAATTCTGAAGAGAAGACGGTTTTCAGACATCTTCCAACCATAACACAATAACAATACACTTTGGTGCTGAGAGCTATGTATCTCCAGATAAGCCTTTTTTTTTTTAAAGTTACATCATTCAATTAGTGCACATTACTGAAACCTCTGATTTCATCCTCTAGCCTAGTGCTGTCCACAAAACTTTCTGCAATGATGGAAATGTTCTATCTCTTCTCTGTCCAATTCAGGAGCCCAGATGGAGTCATTTGAGCACCTGAAATGTCACTAGTAAGAATGAGGAACTGACTTTAAAATTTTTCTTAATTTGAACTAATTTAAATTTAGATAGCCACATGTGGATAACGGACACTGCAAATTTAGCCTTAAGCTGGAAGTGATTCTGTGAGTGTCTGGGAAAAAATTTCCCTTCTTTTGAACTAATTCATTCTAAATTGATAAATTATTTAAAAATTGAAAAAAGTGAGAAAAATCTCTACATAAGCAGGGCTGTGAATAAATAACAAAGTAAAGATTTGTATCTGATTGAAACACAACTCAAGATTCCAATTTCCCTCACTGACTTGACCGAATTAAAAAATAAAGCAAAAATGCAAATGTGGTTGAAATATGTGTGACACTTTTTAAAAATCAGTGCTTATTATTAAAAGAAAATAACCCAAGATGTATATATTCAAATTAATCAACACTTTTAAAATTTATTTAAATGTCTTATATTTTAGTAACGATTGTTCATTAATTCATTTAATGCCCACAATAAGGCAAGTATTTTGCTTATAGAAGGATTATTATTTTCCTAATATACCACAGCAAAAAAATCCCCCAAATAGCCATATTTAATCTGACAGATTTGAAGTGATGTAATTTCCAGCAACTTCATGTATAATTGCTTCATTTTTTGAGGTAGGAAATAATATAATCAAATGATCACTCACTTTTTTGGATTTAATTGTAAAACCAAAGTTCAAATATATCACTGCTTTAAAATGCATAACATATACCATCAGAAAATGACAACCATATTAGCATATCTTTCCAAGAGGTGACTAATATATTTACAAGTACCTAAAATGATATGCATGAATTTTTTGCACAATAAAATTTCATTAAAATTCGTTTTTCTGAAAGTTTCCTAAGAAGTCATTGAAAAATATATATACATATTTTTTTGAGTTGGAGTCTCACTCTGTCGCCCAGACTGGAGTGCGGTGGCGATTCTTCCGCCTCAGCCTTCCAAGTAGCTGGAACTACAGGCGCGCTATACCACACACGGCTAATTTTTGATTTATTGTAGAGACAAGGTCTCGCCAAGTTGCCTGGGGTGGTCTCGAACCCGCGGACTCAGGCAATCCACTCGCCTCGGTCTCCCAAAGTGCTGGTATTACAGGCTGAGCCACCGAGCCTGGCCTGAAAATATTTTGATTAAAATAAAATCTGTCCTGCTTAGTTGAACAGAAAATATATTTTAAATATGTATGTGAAAATCAATTCTGGTTACTTGGGATTTGGGAAGGCAATTCATCATTTCAGCAAACATTTTTTATGCACCCACTATGTGCCAGACACCATGCTTGACACCAAAAAATGACGTTCTCTCTGGAACAAGTCCAGGTAGAATATCAAATTACACATTGATGGAAATATTATCAGTTTTTCCACAGCCATGTCTGGATCAACTGATGAGCATTTATTTATTTATTTATTTATTTTTGAGTTGGAGTCTCACTCTGTTGCCCAGACTGGAGTGCAGTGGCCGCTCCCGGCCACCGCAGCCTCAACCTGCTGGGCTCTGGCGATCTTTCCGCCTCAGCCTTCCCAGTAGCCGGAATTACAGGCGCACACTACCACACCCGGCTGATTTTTTATTTATTGTAGAGATGAGGTCTCGCCAAGTTACCCAGGCGGGTCTCCAACCCGTGGGCTCAGGCAATCCACTCACCTCAGCCTCCCAAGGCGCGGGATTACAGGCTGAGCCATTGAGCCCAGCTCTGATGAGCATTTCTAATGCCAGGTATCGATTATCAAAATCTTCCTTTCTCTCATTTCCATACATATGTAAGCACAGCAAACAATAATATATTTTACCACATTTCTATTCTAACTGCTGGACTGACACTACCATATTTTGTGTTGGACCAGCTAAATCATATATGTATAGATAGATGGTATATGTTCTACACCAACAAAACCAGTTATATACTAATTTAAGAATAAAATGCTCTGAAGTATTTGTTGGTCACTTTGATTGGGTCTTAGTCTAAAAGTCACTATCAAGTAAGATCCTGACGTCATGCTAAATAATTATTTAAACAATAAAAAATTGTAGGCAAGGTATAAATGTAGTTTTTAATGCAATATATACACTTCCAAAGGAAAAAAATGATAATTTACCCAAATCTGAGTCCTAAGTTTGTAGGTGTTTTTTTATTTTCTCATTATACAATTCCATATTCCCTAACATTTCAACAATGACCACACATTACATTTATAATCAGTAAAAATTACATATATATTAGTTACAGCAAAAAAACATTCTAGCAAGTGTTCCAAACCCTATGTCTAGTATAGTCTCACGTAGGAAAGTGGGTGTTGACTATAGGTGTGATCTTAGAGAGCTGGAGCAGAAGGCCCAGGGCTTGACCCAATTGACTAATCCCTAGAAGTCCTTTAAGAAGGAACAAAGAGTTTCACTGTCTAAAGTTAAACATAAATGAATATCACTAAGGGGAAGGGGAAATAGTAACATGTATTTCCAGCTCTAATGTCTGGTTAGGTCACTGAATAAATGCAGTACTGCCTTCTGGTAACATTTGACTCTATACAACATCTATGTTTAAACATTTAGTAATGGACATTTAAAGAACTATTACTAAACACTAGAGAGCTTTGAAAAGTAACACTTTCTTCTAATTACAAATATAGTATAATATTCTTTATAGAAAACCCAGAAAGTACAGAAAAACTGGAGAATAAAATCAAAATAATCCATAATCCCATCACCCAAATGCAACCACTATAAGCAGTACATAACCTTCTAGTAATTTATTCTAGGCATGTGCTTATATCCTGCTTTTTCACTGAATATTTTACCCTGAGCGTTTTTATGTCATTAAGTATGCTTAGTAAACCTCAATCTAATGACTGCCTAATATTACTAATGGCTTAAAAATTCTCTTTTTAGAATGAACAATATTATTGTTTCTACTACGAACCTAACTTATCATAAAAACAGTTTCAAAATTTACCTGGTATTTGAAAAAACTAGCTAGGGGATTTTCTGAATTAGTGATCTTTCCTGAGTATAACCAACATCAGAATTTTGACTCAAAGGAATTTTGTTCTGCTCAAATCCCTAAAACCGCCCATATTGTACACAACAATAAATCACTCACATATTTTCCAAAATACTGTCCTCAGATTGGAAAACCACAACTCCCTAAGGAATATTAGACAGTAAAGCACTCAGTAAATCTCTGTTCAACCAACGTGTATGTCACAGCAGGCTCCAACCCAGGTTCCGCCTGCTGTAGCAAGGCAGGTCAATCACAGTGGGCTTAAAGGAAATTTTAAAGTCCGAGAAAAAATAATTTTTAGCACAAACTTCAGTTACTGAGTAAATGCATTTGTTCACCTTTCAAACTAAGTAAAGAAAAATACCGTGATTTTTTTCTGAGAATATTTTAATCCAGAAGCTCCATAAAACAATTATATTACAGACTGGCCCCGTAAAATATCAGCATGACACATATTTGCTAAGCAAGAGTTCTGAAAATTATTTTACTCGGCATAATAATTACAATTCCTTTGAAGTACAGGAGAAAAATAATTCTATGCTAAAATGTGTGATTTTAGTTTCAAAGGAAACTCCATTTCCAATTATCTTTGGTGGTTTGGAGATCCATTCCTTACCTGCAAGGCAGTTTAGGATCAGAAAGACCTTCCAAAATGCGAATACCATTGTGCCGAGGTTCGTTGAGAGCCAGGTCCCAGTGCTTGTTGGACTAGGCTGAGTTTCAAACTGGTCTCTTCAATCACACCGATGTTTGCCAGGCTTATCTGCTGGGCATCACCAAGCAAACGTGCTTCTTTGGGCTTACTTATTGGGTACAGAACTTTCTCGGGGGAGATTTTCTTTTCATGGGGCGTGTTTCTTCGATATATTTGCTACTGTGTTAATAATAAACCCACATATTAAAATTCTTCAAGCTCTTTGTACACAGATTCTTTGAGTCTCATTGTTGAAAATCAATCTTACTAAAAGGTTGTACTTGCAGGGAGCGAGGAGATATCATTGAAAGAGTGCCTGTGCAAATAAAAGCTGACAAGGCTAATTTATTTCAAATAATTTCCTGAAAGTCTTATAGCATTGATCCACCAACTTTCGTTTACAAATTAGGTTAGTAAGTTGGAGTTATAAGGTTTCCTGGGGAGATGGGGTTCACAGGAAAGGCACAGGATTTACGAAGCGAAAAAGCATTCATTTCTATGTGAACAAACTCTGGACATGTCACTCTTTTTTGAAGCACTGGTAGTTGTCACCACTCTCCACTAAAACTGGCAGTAGAATGAGTTACATGCTCATGTCTCTTGGGTTAGAAACCTTATAGCCCTTATTCACTAACCTAATTTTGCAAAATAAGTATAGTGAATAAATGCTTCAAGACCTATTGGATGAGTCTGAATTTTTGCAGAATTAAGTTACTGCATAGGTGCTATAGAGTTTCCTTGGAAAGGGGGATTCACTAAAAGGGGATGGGAAGCTCCACAGGTCAGAAGCTTCCACGTGAACATGAACTGCTAACGTGAACGTGAACTGCTAACAAAGTTCCTCTCCTGCTTAAGTTATTCTGAGAAACCTAAGGGCCTCTTCTGGCTTTTCCCATGTGATCTCCAAGTCCTGTTGTTTTTGTCTCTACAATAACTCACAGATTTGTGCTTTCTCCAGTCTGCTGCTTCTATCCTGGTCCAGTTACTCAGCTCCTCATCCCCTAGCCTATCATAGAAGCACCCTGACTTCTTCCTCCTTCATCCTGTATACCAGCCACAGGCCAATGTCCCAACCCTAATAAGGCATTTTCAATAACACCATGTATGGACTCTTCCATCAAGCCCAAAGTCCTTAATCTAGATTCCCAACCTTCCAAGATCTGATCCTCACCTCATCTAAACCGTAGCCACATTAAATCATCCACTTGAAAAAAATACTGTCAAAATGTATTGCCTCAAATTGTTCAGTCACATGAGATGTGTTCAAGTTTCCAGTGATGAACTGTAACTTATAAAAAACATTTGACCCCATCTTACCTTAGTCAAGCCAACCTCCTACTGCTTCTCAGAAAGTCATTTTGCTTCTACCAGTCATGAATCCTCCTTATAGCCTGTCCTAGCCATGCTCACACCTGATACCAAACTTTGGTTCCAGAAGACTTCCATCACTACTTAGAATTTTCTCCTCCCTTCTCTTGCCATTCAAGTATAGTCTTAGTACAGATCAGTCATGCTGTCCTATGTGAAGATTTCAATGAACTCACATGCCACCCTTCTCTGGGATCCCCCTAGCATAAATTTGCATTATACTTAGAGCCAATACCCTTCAGTTGGCACTCAATTGTTCTCCAGTAATTTCCTATTTTTAACGTGTTTACCTTAAGTCTAGTACTGTGAACCCCTTTAGGGCAGGGGTCAGGTCTTATACAGGCAGTTCTCAACTTATAAAAGGAAATGTCCCAAGATGTACTGGTAAGTTCATTGACTAGACCTAAGGGTACACACTTCTACAGAAGTAATACTATAATAGAAGTCTTATTGCCAGAGTTATGTGGCACATAGTGCTGGCTTGAATTCTAGGTACTGGGCTATATAGAGAAGGGAAGGAGGATAGGGAGTGGCATGTGGCAGAGAAAGATCGTTCTTTTCCTTTCCCAAGACATGGGTTGTGCATAATGCAACATTGTCCCCCAAATAACTATTGCGTGTCTCTGACACCCACCTTTCTTTATGACCTCCACCTTCTTGGCTTGCTGACTCCTTGTTTCCCTAGTTTGCCCTAAGGGAAAACCTCACTCTCCAAAATGTTCCATGCTCCAAAATTACTTTTTCCTTTTCATCCCAATTTTTCATCCCTATTTCTCCCAGAAACACTCCCCTTCCAGACATAAGCTTCATGTTAGGAGGGAAAAATCAGTTTCATGAACATTCCCCAACATGTTTGCACTATTGAAAATAGCATGCTTATTTTCCCCAAATAAATCTCTAACCAGAAGGATTAGGCAATAAAGAGAAATGGTTTGAGGAAGGAGGTTTTGCAAAGGAGGACAACTTGTAAGGTGGCCATCTGGAGAGCCATACCAGCTCTTCTCAGCCTTAGTTCTGCCTTGACCTCTAAGTCCACCAAGTCTTCAAAAGACCCACAGTTTTCACAATGGCTCCCCTGGAAGTAATAATGGCATTTCCAGTGGTGAGGAAATAGGATGGGGAAATAAATTTGTAAGTCTAGCGTTAGTAACCCAGGGGCTTCTTGCATTTCCTTCCATGCCCAATAGGTCACCATAGCAAAGTAACCATATTATTGATCATTAAAACTAGGATACTTTTGATACTAAAAGTAATACTGTTAGAAATTACATGATTGAGGCCAGGAGTCTGAGACCAGTCTGGGAAATATAGTGAGACCCCATCTTTACAAAAAAAAAAATCGTTTATTAGCCAGATGTGCTGGTGTGTGCCTGTCATCCTAGCTACACTGAAGAGGGAGGATTGCTTGAACCCAGAGGTTTGAGGTTACAGTGAACTGATTGTGCCACTGCACTCCAGACTGGGTTACAGAGCAAGACCCTGTCGGGGGGAGAGAGAGAGAGAGAGAGAGAGAGAGAGAGAGAGAAATAAATACATAAATAAATAACATGGGACAGACAGCATAAACTATGACAGTCCCAGACAAACCTGATATCTGGTCACCTACCTACAAGGAATTACTGGCACAAAACAGGTGTTAAGAAAGAGCTTGCTGATTAACTCAATGTGTCTGAGCTGGTTGGTCCTAAGATGGGTGGGGTAGAGGGTATGATCTAAGGATATTGCCAAAATCCATGTGCACCAGACTCTCATACAAACACAAAACACTCTGGAATATTTAAGTAAAATATCTACACTGCTGTGTAAGACCTAACCAGGACAGGAAGAATTTTGTTAAAACAAACTGTAAGAGATCATCTAAATTATCGCTTGAAGTTGAGTTTTGATGTTATTAACTGTTGCCCAAAAAAAAGTGGGCCATTAACTGGTACATGAACTACTAAATATCCTTTGCATTTTGCAGGGCTTTTTAATTTTTAAGCTGCTTTTGCACTTTGTCTTCACAACTTTCCAATAAAATAAATAGGGCAGTCATTATCTACATTTTCTATATAAGAAAACTGAGGCTCAAAAATGTTGCCTTTCCCAAGGCCACATAGCACGTATTCGAAATTGTTCCCATCACACCAAACAGTGGCACAGTGTGATTGTAATGTAACAAATATACTTCTACCCCGAGATTTCTTCCTTGGGAACTTTCAGAAATATGTGATATCTGATTTATCCCTCAGTTTTTTACTTAAAAATTACAAAAGTAATACACTTTGATTGTAAAAGGATTTCAAAGAACAGAGTATACAGAGGAAAAAAGTCTCCATGTATTCACTCACACTTGGAATCCCATGCCCAGGCTCACAAACGACAGGAGTTTAGCATTTTTCTCAGACCTTTTTTTATACATTTTACACATGCATACACATACATGATGGTTTTTTAAAACATAAAGATGAACATATTATACATATTGTTCTATAATTTTCCTTTTTTCCCCTTAAAAAGACATTTTTATTATTTCTTTCTGTCACTGTGTCTAACTACATCTATAAATCTATTTTAAAACTGTATGGTATTTTTATAGTGTGGTTGTATCTCAATTTATTTAATCATTCTACTGGTGAATTCTTAGATCGTTTCTAGTTTTTCACTATTATAGACAATTGTGCAATGATCATCCTTTTGTCTAGATCTACTCATTCATGTGGTTATTTCTGTAGATTAGGTCCTAGAAACGGAATTGCTGGATCAAAGGTAATGAGCAGTTAAACTTTTTAGTAAACCTCAAAATTGTCCATAAGAAGTTCTTTACAAATCTATACCTCCATTAAGAGTATATTGAGAGTGCCTGTTTCTCCACAGCCTTGTCAAAAATGAAAATTGTCAGTCTTTTATATTTTTAATTTTTTTATATAAACCTCCTGTGTTCATCAGTCTTTTATTTTTACTCATATTATGGATGAAACTTAGTGTTGCTTAATTGTTTTAATGTGTATTTCTCTAATGAGGTTGCACCTCTTTTCACAGGTTTACTGGCCTAATTGGTATTTCTTTCCCTGTGAATTGCCTATTTACAGTCTTAGCCCATTTTTCCATTGAATTATCTGTCTTTTAATACTATAAAAGCACTCTTTATATATTTATATGAATCTTACTCTGTGCTTGGTCATCACATTTCTTTTTAATCTTATATGTTTCACCATAAAGAAATTTGCATATTGTTGTAGTTATCTACCAGTTTTTTCTTTGCAGCTTCTGAATTTCACGGCTTCCTTAAGAAAGCCTTCCCCAATCCAAGATTATATAAATATTATTCTATATTATCATATAGTATAATATTATATTCTCATCTAATACTTTCATAATTTTGTCTCTTGCCATCTCAGTTACAGCAACCCTGTCCTCCCAGTTGTTTAAGACAAAAGCCTTCGTATCATCCATGAGTCCTCTCTTTCTCTCATATACTGCATCTAACTCATCAGCAAATTAGACAAAAAGCCTTGGTATCATCCATGAGTCCTCTCTTTCTCTCATATACTGCATCTAACTCATCAGCAAATTCTTTTGGCTCCTTGTTCAAAAGCTATCCAGACTCTGAGCACTTCCCCCCACCTTCATTGCCCCCACCCTCATCTGAGCCACCAGCACCAATTGCCAGGATCA